TAAAAACAAAAATCTAAGTAAACAATCCATCCTTCAATAAGTTTTCATTTTGATACAAAAATTTTGAAAGCTTTGAAAAGAAATTACTAGATTCCATTGAATTTTTATTCTCCTCTTCTAAAACTTTACTGCAATTAGTCCTTAAAGATACCTTCAGGTAAAGATAAAAACTTCAAACTGTTTTGGTTTGCAGTGCATTATAAATTCTGTATAATTTTTCTAGCACATTTACTTGTTAGTGTACAGAATTAAAAATATATTATTTAAATTATGAATAGCTGTATACAATAACAACTGTTACCCTACAAGCCTAGCCATTAGTTGATAATGGATGTAATAAATCTTTATACAAATGGATTTCTTCTCATTTTACTTTCCTGGCTGTCATGTATACATAATAAGGGAAAGTATTGGAATCATGTCAAATTTGACCCTCCAAGTTTTTTGTAAATCTCTGTGTTTTAAGATCACCTGAACACAAAAAAGTAAAAAAAAAATTTTGTGTGTTTGTGTTGACAAATGTTTAATCTTTATCCCATCCTGAGATAATAAATGAAGTAACAAAATTTCTCATGATAGTTTGTATATAAGGGGCATTGATACTATTAAATTTTGATGATTGAAGGTCAATGGGGTGGGGAGATACAAGGTAGTCACATCTCAAGTGGGGTCAGACTTAATGAAGATTTTACTTGTTAGAATTAAAATTTACAGTTTATAAACATCTAAACTCATTTACTCATTTCTACTCTCAAAATTAAATGTTTTGTCATTTTCTATATTTTTAATTACAAAAGTTTTTATAACAAAATCTCATAACAGATGGCACCACACAAGTTATTTTTAATAACACTATTATGATTTTTTAAAATCTCATAACCAAGGAAAGTATGCAGCTCATTGCTAATTTTTTAAAATGTACTTTTGTAATACTTGGCCATCTCTAGTGCTGCACTATTTGAGAATCTGTTCCACTGCAAGGAGATGAAAAGCATTGCAATAATTAAATATTTAAAAAATGATAAACCCACAGTAGCTAAACTGCAGCTCAGCTCCTATATAAGTTATACATATATAACTATATTATATATATATATATTTAAAATACAGTTTGTATTTCCGATAGGCAATATATGTTTCCTTTTGCAGCCCCATTATATACATTAAAAAATGTTTCATTATTGATAGGAAATTTTGTTACAAATATATTTCTAATAACAACAATAGTAGTACCATAAAGAACAAGTCTCAATGTAAACTGTTAATTACACTTATTTCCAAATTAACTCTCACATTTTGATATACTAAAATTATGAGAAAACTTCATAAATAATAACCCATAGTATTTACATAATACAGTTCTAGAACTTTAGTAGTATTAATATATCCAACAAATTAGTAAACTGTACAGCAGTTCTTTTTTTTTTAATTTCTAAATTTGGAAATGTAGTGGAATTTAATTTTCCTTATTAAAAAATAGAATAATGTTTAGTTGAAAGTGTTGAAGAAAAACAATTTTGATGATAAACAGTTACAGAATAAATGTATAGTGACCAACAGCAATCAATGATTTTCATAATTAGTGAAAATAAAAGTAAATTTTATTTCCTGAATCAATGTCTTTTAAAAAAAAGCTTTGTAAACAAATTTCACATTTTTCATTAAACTAATGATAAGTTAATATTGTTGATAATTCAAATTTAAACACACAGTATTGTTAAACTAGCCCCTTGTTATATCACTCATTTGTATGTATCATTTTATCATCCAAATATTAAAAATTATTCGCTAGAGCAATTTAAAAAATATCTGTTGCTATTGAATTTCTACTGGCAAAAAAATACTATTTCATTCATTGACCTTGAAATTACTATTGTATAATTGTAATTTCAAGGTAATATAGATATACTCAATGTGTATTATGTCAAGTGTATGTAGTTGGTTATATTCTAAATTATATTCCTATTTTTAAAAAATGCTGTAAGAACATTAATTAGAACTCAGTTCAAACCTTATTTTATACATTAAAGCCTGATGTAAGTCTGAGAGGTCAAAAATGTTTGCTTGAATAAAGTAGTGTATTGCTGGAAGTAGTATTTAAAGTGTTATTCAATGTAAATTAGTTTCAGCCGTAACAGGAGTGTTTTTTTTTTTTTTTAATACAATCCACAAAAAAGCAAGGCTGCATTGAGATCAAAAATAGACAAAACAGGTGAATACATTGATTATATCATTCATTTGATTTTTCTCCCAGCATGAGTGATATAACAAGCAGCTACTAATACATATATAATGATAAAATGGTTATAAAATTTGTAAGAATAAGAACCCTATTCTTACAAATTTTATAGAAGCCTTCTCCTTAAATTAAGATGTATATTTTTCTTAATTACTTTTTCATAATTTATAATTTTTCTTCCTCTGCTTTTGGAATGATCAATTATCAAATTGATCACTCCAAAGGATGAACTAGCTACTGTGGTTACTCAGCTGAATTAATTAAATTGATCTTAGAAAACTTTTCTTTCCTCACTTTTGACTCTCACCACGTGAATGTGGAATCCAAAAGGGTATCTACATGGTAAGATTTTTTAATCATAACTATCTTGGGTTTGGTCAGGCCCACAGTGGGACAGCTGGATGGTGAGGAATGGAACCAAACAAATCCAGGAGACCATCTGTAAAAAAAAAATTCCTAGGGTTCAAAAGTTAAATCCTAGAACAGTAAGCTGATGTCTTTATCCATACTACAGCCATCCAGCTATCAAGTATTCAACAGATTGTCAAATAGTTTTGCAATTTCTAATTTTTTTCTTTTTGCTTTCCTCTGGTTTTTGACATGGCTTTCTGCTATCAACAAAATCTTATTTGCATAACAGCATACATGATAACATAAACAACTCAGGATATTTTCAATTAAAAATTGAATTATGACTATTTACAAAAAATTTTTAAATTTTCCGAGTCTATCTTTCATCCTTTTAACATACCACAGAAGTAACAGTATATTGGCTTGGATGAACTTCCACAGAACACGTGATAAATTATAACGAAAAACACACAAAGTTAAAAACGATCATGGTTTTCTTATAAGTTTAAGATGTATTTACGTGACGGATGATAATTCATTTCAAAAATGTTAAATAATGAATGTGGATAGATTTTTATTTTTCTCTATTGCCAATGTTTGATTTGTTAATAATTCATACTAAATATTTTTTATTTCTTAAAAGCAGCATCTTTGTTTCAAAAGAACAGAATGTTGATTTATTTTATAGTAACTGGATTTATACTTAATTTAATTCAATTAAATTCTTAAACTTACTTTTGAATTATCTATAAAAACTTTGTATATAGCCAAAATTAATATATTCTAAAATAATAATAATAAACAATTTTGGCTATTTTAGAATCCATTTAAATTGAAAATATCTGAAATTTTTTTTTAATAAAGTGAAAATATGTTAGTCAACTTAGATAAATATTATAAATTGTATTTTAAAAATAACTCTGAGCAAAGATGATCAAATTTACTATGAAATTACTAATTCAACATTTACAGAAGTTGCATGTTAGTTTTTAAATGTTTAAACAGCAATAATCACTGAAAAAATAGTATTACTAAAGTTTGAAGGATAAACCAAAAACAAACCGAGATATGCAAAAATAAAGTTGAAGAAAGCTACTTCTATTAATGTTGTTATATGTAAAATTATACTGCTTTATACTTTATAGCAGCAGTTACCAAAGTGTGTGCTGTGGTTTCCTCACAGGGGTGTCATGAAATGTTTTAAAATTTTTATGTTAGAATTTAATCTACTCATTAGAATTTGACATAGGACGCCTTGGGAAAATCTGCATTTAGCAAGGGCACCGAGAATCAAAAAATATAAAAATTTTTTGTAAATAGTCATAATTCAATTTTTAAAATCTTATTTTTTTTATCATTTCTGTCTACTTCAGAATTAAAACAGACAATATATTGATTAACTGGTTATTATCAGCAATGAGAATATCAACATGAAATTCAAACTTTAACATTTATATTGTGTAAATTTCACTGTAAGTTCCAAGTAGATAAATTTGATTAGCCAATATGTATCTATGAGTTTATCTATAACTCAAATAAGATATAATAGACATTTGTGATTTGACATTTTAAAATTTTAAAGCACTAAGATTGGGCAATTTGCATCCAAGAATAAGATTGTTACTGTAGGAGCAAAATGTTAAAATTTTGAATTCTGTCATGCAGAGGTGTAATTCTATACAATACTAATCTTCAACTTTATACCATCATCGATTTTTTTGAACTACAAAAGTAGATAAAGTAATTTTATTTCATAATTCAAAATTTAAGATCCAGAGACTAAAATTACATTTCACTANGGAAAATCTGCATTTAGCAAGGGCACCGAGAATCAAAAAATATAAAAATTTAGGGGGTCTAAAATCCACACCAAACAATTATGTTTCATTTCATTAATAAACTTAAGTGATTTTATAGCACTCTGGCATCAGATACAATAATTCATTGTATTTGAGTGTCAGAGTGCCTGCATAACATATTGCAAAAATATGGTTCCTAGCACATTTAACTTTTAGAAAAATATTTATAATCATGTATAACAATACTCAAATTGAGAAAAAATTATTGGTCCACCAAAGCAATCATCAGTTCAATTGAGTCAATCAATCAATCAGTTCAATCATCAGTTCAATTGAGCCAATTCTCAGGATTCAAATCTTTCTAATGATGCTGTTTGAACTATTTTATTATGCAAGTTATTAGAAATGCATATAAAAAGTACTGTTGGAATAAATATGATTGCCATTCTCTCAATCTGTATAAAATAAATGTTCATTATTTCATGGAATAAGGTAATGGAATAACTGAACACCATTCTATCAACAACAGAAACTATTATTTATCTGAAAAGTTAGTCATAAAAAGCAAATATATTTTTATGAATTTTACAGAAATATACTGCAATTTATTAAAATTAATATTCACATTTTGTGTTTCTTAATTAAACTGAAATATTTATTTTATATTAGAATTATTTGAGATGCATTACATACCTTCAAAATGACATCAGATAATAAATACATTTAGAATACCAATAATTTTCTTAAACACAGATATTTTAGACATCTAAATATTTACATCTTTCACAATTAACATGCACACAATGATTCCGAATCATTTTCTAGAGAAGTATATTTACTTGATGTACTGTTTTCTTTTGATCGTACTGTGATAACTCTAGATCGTCTGTTTTCATCTGTAAGCTGCCGTTGAAGAATAGGCTGCATCATAGGTTTTGCATTCTTTAATTTATGCGCAAGCGTTAAGAAAATTGCTTCAACATGATCTGTTTCACTTTCATCCTTTGCCGATGTTTCAAATAAGGGCATGTTATGCATATCAGCAAATTTCTGTGCCATATTTGTACTAACAGCTATTTTGTCTTTACAGTCACATTTATTACCCACTAAGATTCTTGGTATTTCTGATGTCATTTGATAATGGTTACATTCTTCAATCCAATGTGGAAGACTTTCAAAAGAAGACATTTTTGTAACATCATACACAAATACTACAGCATGTACATTGCGATAATAATGTTGAACCATACTCATTCGAAATCTTTCTTGGCCAGCAGTATCCCATAGCTGCAACTATAAAATAGTTTTATATAATAAAATTTTTTGACTTAAACTTATTAAAGAACAGATTAAAAATATTAATAAATGTACTAATGAACTTAATTAATAAATCAAATTTTTATCATAGCAAATATAGCATACTCTTTAACAAACAATGAAACTAAAGGATGAACAACACAACCTTCAAATAAAGATTGTATTATGCATTCTAAAAATTCACCCAGTTAGCAATTTTTCCTTATAATTTTTTATAAAGGAATTTATAGTTTCAAACATTGAAATAACATATTAAATTTTTATCAAATTATAACTTAAATGAAAATATTCTCAATGGTGTCATGTATTGAAAAATTTAGATGGAAAAATCAAAGTATATGGAAAAAAAACTAATGGCTCTTTTGTTTTTTCTATCAAAAGGAATTTGTATTCATAATGAATGCAGAAAAGCAGCATCTCAGCAATAGTATTTACACCATAATACACTAACTGGAGTAATATTATAGGTTATAATGCATAATTTGTAACAGAACTGTACAGATGATAGCCTCAGCTTCTTTTCTATAAGGAAAAGACATGAATATGATTTTTTTAATATGACATATGGAGTAGATTTTTTTCCCCTTCCTTGTCCTGCTCTTCCATTTTCAGCATACATCTTTTTTTTATCTAGTCCCTCTTATTTGAAAAAGTTCTCTTAAAAAACCATCAGGTCAGGTCAATATATTATTATTAAGTTTAAATATTAATAATAATAATGCTTATGAATGTCAAATTTGCAACAAATTTCAAAAATAATTTAACTGCTATCCCACAATTTTGCACTAAATTTTTTATCTACAAGATTTCAATATATGCAAAATTAAAAAAAAATATCTTTACATTTGCTTTTGAAATAAAAAAGACTAAATAAAAAATTTCTATAGAAGGCTACTCTTGATTATAACTAACTACAAAGGAGAAAATATATTTAAAACAAGCTAAAAATTTTTTTCTCAATGATTTAATGTTTTGATATTACAAGTACATACATTTACTACTAAATGTGTCAATTCATAAAAACAATATCAAAGAAAATTGGAACTAGGTAAAAATTAGTTTTAAATTATGTTATGACAATTCACCACATCCAAAAAACCTTTGTAACTCCAGTGATACGTGTTTACACACCAGCGAACGTTTTCGACCCCATCCGGGTCTTCATCAGGCTATGGTTATTTGGAATACAGTGTAAACACTTATCACTGGAGTTACAAAGGTTTTTTGGATGTGGTGAATTGTATTTCCTCCGGTGTTTACGAAGAGGTTCATTTCTTATGTTATGACATTGAATTTCTCAAAAATTACAAAGTAAATTCATACTATTATAAGCACTTTCCATGCACACATTTGCACTTGCTAGAAAGACACTTAATGACAGATCACCAGATACATTTATCATAATTTTAGGGCTACAGTTCATATTAAATACCTTAAACCAATGATTGTAGCAGCTTGATTAACTGAATTCTATTGATTTTCTCTCTATTGAAATAGTTTTTTTTTAAATAATATTGTCTACTTATCTAAATTAACATATTTATTATATAATATATCAATTAGTCCTATATTTTCTCCAAAAACATGTTTCTTCTAGATATAAGCTTAGAAATCATTTAAAAATAGCATTAGTTATAATAATGCTATTTTTATCAATACAGTATAAACAAATAATCAATTTTAAAAATTTTATTTATTTGCTTGAACTTATTATTATTATTATTTTTTATATATAGTGTAATTGTTTTTATCAAGAGACAGTAATCACTAGTCCACAAGGACTTTACTGATTATATTCAAAAATAAAGAAAACAATTTCAAAGTAGATGTACAAAATAAAACTAAAACTGTAAACTGTTTTAACCATTAACAAGTTTTTTGTAAAATATATTTCTTTCACTTGATATCACATTCCCTTCTGATGTTTTCTCTGCACAAACAAATCATTAGTAATTAATGATTTAATTAATTTCACAAACTTTAAATTAGCACAAGTTGCTTGCTACTCCAAACACTAATGCTTCCTACTAATGCCTGATTCAGCAGATTTTTAATATATTAATTGTTGAAAATTATTAATATATAATTATATTTCAATATAACTTAATGAAAAAACTTTTTTCATTTTTTAATCTCAAAATATTTTCTCCTGTCATAATTCAGCAACCACAAGTTGGTTAAACGCAACAGTAATAACCCCAGTTGTTTTTCCTACTATAATTTAACATTACCAATGATCACAAATAACTTGCTATTTTCATTATAAATTTTTGAATGTCACTTCAAAGAGCTCTCATTCTTAAATGCTGCAACATAATGTTAAATGACATAACACAAAATACCATTTAAAAATACACACACACAAATAACAATAATCTAACATTGTCATCTCAACTAACATCTTTGTTATAGCCAGTGAATAAATCTGCAACAACAGACAAAATTTTATTGATTTTTTTTAATACTTTAATATTTTGAAGGATTTTAAGAATCTAAAATTTATCCTCTCTTGTCAAATATTTCCAGAAATTTTTAGTATTCAAATGCTTATTCAAACTTTATGAAATGAATGCAACTTTTTTTGTACTTCAAATGAATTAAAGAGAAATATGCATATGTTTACAGTACTCTCAGTTTAAAATCTGTTTCCATGATTTAACAATATCTGAATACAGTATAGTAGATCCCCCTATAAGACTGGTTCCTATAATTACGATTCCTATAAGACGGCGAAAAAATTGTGGCGGTATCTGTACACAATGGTAAAAAACTCCTATAATTACGTAAAACGTCATCGGGCAGCCGAACTACTTTCCTGCTGTCCGTAGCGTGGCGCTACGGACGTTTAGGTGGGTAAATTGAGTTTAGTTTCGTCTGTACATATAATTATATATAAATTAGGTACTGTATATATAATTATATATTAACTTAATTTATTGTAACTTTATTATAATTATATATATATGCTTTCCGCCGCCTGGCGCCACGCTATGGAGAGTTTAGGCGAACTATCGTCTGTACAGTATGTAAATTAGGTACTGTAAGTCTAATACATTACTGTAATTTTATACATTTCTTGTGAAAGAAACATTTCAACGGCGATAAAAATTATTTATAGTAATGATGTCTCCAAAGTTCAGCGAAGTTTTCGCAGAAAAATAACATCAGAAATCGCGGCCGCGGTTTGCTGAGTTGTTCCGCGATGAAAACAAGCTTGAGCAATGGCGATGTCAAATGGTGCACACTCGGTAAGTAATCCTACAATTTTTTGTTTATAGCGTAGTTTATACGGATTATTTCCAAAAAAAATATACGTATTTTGGAAATGTTGAGTCGGATTAGTCTAGAATCGATGAATTTTATGGAAGAAAACCTTTCAAACAGCCATAGTCCGTAAACTTCACACATGTCGGGCTGTGATTCCTACAAAATCGGATTCATAAAGAACGGAACATATCTACTGTCTTATAGGGGAATCTACTGTAATTATCACATATAAAGCATAGAAAGTGGAAATGTTTTCTCCAAACCAAAAAGAAAGGAAATATACCATGAATAATCCAATGTTTCCCATAGCAATTTTACTGAAATGGCTAACTCTCTTTTCTAGTCTCGAATAATATATGAACTAGACTTAAATTTTCAAAAAACTTGTTTACATATGTTGGGACCATTATATTTGTGAAATCAAATCACAGCACCACTATAGAAAATAATTATAGAAAAATGTAGAAAAAACTAAATTTAAAACATCAAAAAAGTAGAAATACTAAAATTAATTAAAAATGTCTTCACATTTTCTTTTTTTACACCCCATGAACATAAGTTTTCACAGCAGAGATTAAATTTATCTTGAGGTTCAAGATAAAGGATACCTCTGCTTACTCGACAGAAAAACTACTTTATTAAGAGCTATTTTTTAATATTGAGAACGCAAAAAAGTCAGGAAAGTATCATAATGTATAATTCATCATAATAAACTATGAATTGGTATCACATTTGCCAAAACAAAATTGTTTTCTTGAAGTGAAATTTCAAAGTCTATAATACTATATGAATATTCGGTTAAAGTGTACCTAGGTAACCCCAATGGTGGCGGTTAGGTTAGGTTAGATTAACTATATTTTTAGTAGACGTTTCCTTTTTTTTTTTTCAAGAACTACCGTGAATCAATAACTAGTGACGTTAAACACTTGGTGGCCTGCTGGTGGATCCCCACCGGCAGGAGTCCATCGGGAGCACGAACAGTCAGAAGCACCACCATTGGGGTTACCTAGGTACACTTTGACCGAAAAATTTAAGCTAAAAAAAGTCTTTAAATGATTAATTTTGTCTAGTTATTATTGATATTTACATTAGTTCTTCTATAGAGTGCAAAACAATAGCTTGAATAATCATGATCAATAACAATTTAAAATAATTATTTAGTATCTATTACATTAAGAAAACAATTAGAATATAAATTTTGTGGACACATTTATAAGAATTAAATTCTCAAAATTTAAATTACGATTTAATATAAACATTAAATTATCTTATAATAGAAACATTATTAAATTAAGTTGTATACATTAACACTTCAAACATTAAATACGAGATAATGAATGTTTATAATTATATAATTATAAATTATGTGGTAAATAGTTGCTGCTATTATAGTTATACTGTTTCATTAAACTATAAAGAATGACGTTATATTAAAAAACATACTCTAATTTGTTCTCCGTCCACTTCTAACAATCTTTCTCTGAAGTCTACTCCAATGGTAGCTTCTGTTTTATTTGGAAATTTTCCTCCACAAAATCTGAAAGTTAAACAAGTTTTTCCAACATTAGAATCGCCGATCACTATTATTTTAAAGATTCTCTTTTGCTTATCTATTTTCACTGATTTCTCAGGTCTACTTTCGCTCATCTTTCTCGTTTGTTTCGATTTAACAAGACTTCACATGTTTAATTCTCTAAAATATAAAATACACTTGTACTTCTAAACGATACTATCGTCGATCCGTAGATCACACGACGGAGAAATCACTCTACGCCATGCACACAACCACCTGACAGAGTAACGTTGCCAGCTAAAAATGGAGTTTATTGAGAATAAACGTTGCCAGATCTCTAGAACAAAAATATAATAATTTTTAAACATGGTCGAATTGTAAAAAGTTATAGTCTATAAATTTTTTGTATTTCATACTTGCAATAATTCGACTTGTAAATTTTATATCGTTGTTTCTTTTATAAAATTGTCTGTAAAGATAAAAAGAAATCATATTTAATGGACGACTGCTGAATGCTGATTAATATGTAAAGAACATCTAACTCAATAACCTAAGAACCAGCAAAATTGTTACTCATTTGTCAAGCAAAGCAAACGTGTCAAGAAATCATATTTGCTTATTGCAAAATGCAAACGAGTTACATCGCTGTTATACAATTTATATACAATTATAAAATATAGAATAAAATAAACATTGTGCAATATTCTTCGCAGAATTTTTATTTTAACTTAGATGTTTGTAAATCTACTGTATGATAATCATTTTCAACAAAAAGGGCAATTTTCGAAATAAAAGATGAATCTTTTGGATGAATATATTAAACGAAATACTGTATAATTCAGATGACAGGATAGTCCAGATAGTAAAACATCCATCTGGATACTCTGGGAATTCGGAAGATTAAGAAATGTTTATGGTTGAATTGAATTAGTTTTAGTCCCTTCCACGCTATTTGGCTATCTACATTACAAGTTTAACCGTTGGCTGTGTTCTTAAACTTGTGAGTTCAATGATATACTAACCCCAGTGGCGTAGCGTAGTGGGGCGGCAGGGGCGGCCCGCCCCGGCGGCACTTTTTAGGGGGCGGAAAAATTTCACAATAAATAATAATAATATCTTGTAAAAACTTGAACCATTTCATCACATATTTTCGTCGCACCTACGATTCGGACCGATTGAAATGAGCACGAAAAGTGTCATCATCCGGACAGTCCGGGATTTCATGCCCAACCTGTTGACCTTTTTTTTTATGCTTGTACGAATCATTCGTATTCATATACACCTCCAATGTCCAATACAGCTAAGTCATCTAGGTTGCTTACGTTACTCCTACCCAATTCTCCGTAATCGCTAACTGAACCGGCATGCACTGCACATTATTCTTCGCATTGCAAAATGACATACGCATGCGTCAGGAACTTCTGTTCGAACAAACCTCACCTGCCGTCCGGGTCAGCGATTTTAAAAATGTGGCAATACTAGCACGGAATTTTTCATTACTTATTCTGTGACGAAACTGAATTTTAGTTTTTTAAATTGAGATACCTAAATAAGGGGGCGGCGAAATTTTCCTTTGCCCCGGGTGGCTGACACCCACGCTACGCCACTGACTAACCCTGTTCAAATTCATCGATTGATTTCATGAAAAGTATTTCAAAACGTAACCGGTGCTGCATCTAATTCGCAAACTTGAAAAGCTGGTGCTTACTGGTGAGTAATATGAAGGGAGACAACCATGAAAATTGTGCGGTTGACACGAAGACATTACGCTCTAAATTACAGTCCTAACTTTTAAATAACACTTAGAAATCGTTATAACTTTTTACCGTGATTCTTCTTTTCAGTTTCTTTTTAATTTCTTTTTATGGTCTGTCCGGATATGTCGGGTTCCGTCCCTCACCACCTAGCTACCCGATTGTGGGTCTGGCCGAACCCATAATGGGCTTGCTAAAAAGAGGTTCCCTTAGTGCCCACAGGGCTGAAAGAGTAAAAAAAAAACCCTCAATTCTGGTTTCAACCAAGCCTTAGAGTGCTTTCTCTGAATGAAAAAGTTAAGGTTATCAAGTTTCTTGAACCCAATAAAAATAGTGAGCAAAAAAGCAGCAGCGATAATTAAAACTTCTTAATCACATTTAGAAATGCAAGGCAGAATACCTTGAACGTTATGAAGACCGTGAAAACGGAGAGCGTTCCAGAAAAGTAAGAAAGACAGCAAATTTTGAGATAAATGCTGCTATTCTGAAATGGTTTCAGCGAATGCATGGCATGAATGCTCGTATATCTGGTCCAATGCTGTAGGAATTAGTCTTCACATTTGCACAGAAACTTCATATTCAGAACTTTAATGTGTCAAACAGCTCGCTCAAATCATTTAAGCAAAGACATGCCATTTCAAAGAAGGTACTGTGGAGAATCAAATGATATAGATAATATAACAGTGGAAATTAATGTAATTAATGTGTATACTGTTATATAAAACCACTGCTGTCAACATTAATAGAAATAAAATTCACAGGACCTACAAAACAATGTGTCATAGGATTTACTTGATATAACGTATGTATTATCTATATAGTGATCATTTATTTTGGTCCCAATATACAATGAGAGGTTCCATTAAGCAGATTCCATTGTATATTTCAAATAGATTTCATAATAATTTAAGTCGATTTATTTGGAAGTATTTATGTTTATGTTACCAGGAAAGGATACATTGATGAGAATAAAAAATGAAACAACTGCGGATATAATGAATAAAAATAGTACAGTATAGTATAGTAATTTATTAAAACGTACGTTAATGTGACGTGTTTTAATTAATATATTAATGTTATATTTTTATATTTATTGCATTATAATTTTGAAGTTTGTCTTGTAGGAGACGAGCTAGAATATACTACGTAGAGTGGCTGTAGCGACGCCATGTCTAAAGAAAAAAGAAAATTGAATACACGTTCGCCATTTTCCTTTTAGTCAAGGCGCGTGCCGTTTGTGTTGTGTAAAAGTGTGCAAAGGAAAAGAAAAGTTTTAACTAAGATGGTGCAAATCAAAATGACCTTACTTAGTTTTTTTAAATTTTAAAAGTAAATAACAAGACATTCCTTGTTATTTGTTATTTATTCACAAGTCGAAGCCAACATTTCCACAAACTATATATAAAAAAATAATAGAACACTACTTTTATTCTAAAAAATAAAAAAATAAAAATTAAATAAACACTGTCCAAAAAAAATCAACAACGTACTGAGTATGGTACGGATCAGTCTGACCTGAGTACATTTTTTTAAAACTCTTTCCGCCCTGTGGGCACTAAGGGGGCCTCTTTTTAGCAAGCCCATTATGGGTTCGGCCAGACCCACAATCGGGTAGCTAGGTGGTGAGGGACGGAACCCGACATATCCGGACAGACCATGAAAAGAAATTAAAAAGAAACTGAAAAGAAGAACCATGGTAAAAAGTTATAACGATTTCTAAGTGTTACTTAAAAGTTAGGACTGTAATTTAGAGCGTAATGTCTTCGTGTCAACCGCACAATTTTCATGGTTGTCTCCCTTCATATTACTCACCAGTAAGCACCAGCTTTTCAAGTTTGCGAATTAGATGCAGCACCGGTTACGTTTTGAAATACTTTTCATGAAATCAATCGATGAATTTGAACAGGGTTAGTCAGTGGCGTAGCGTGGGTGTCAGCCGCCCGGGGCAAAGGAAAATTTCGCCGCCCCCTTATTTAGGTATCTCAATTTAAAAAACTAAAATTCAGTTTCGTCACAGAATAAGTAATGAAAAATTCCGTGCTAGTATTGCCACATTTTTAAAATCGCTGACCCGGACGGCAGGTGAGGTTTGTTCGAACAGAAGTTCCTGACGCATGCGTATGTCATTTTGCAATGCGAAGAATAATGTGCAGTGCATGCCGGTTCAGTTAGCGATTACGGAGAATTGGGTAGGAGTAACGTAAGCAACCTAGATGACTTAGCTGTATTGGACATTGGAGGTGTATATGAATACGAATGATTCGTACAAG